GCTGCTAAGTTGGGAATTGCAGCCACAGCAACTGACAGCTTTTTTTTTTCCGTGAGTCTGGAGTTGCTCTCTGGGAGTGATGTCCTCATCGGGATGGGAAGTAAAATGACGGGAGAAAGGCTCACCCTGGCCCTGTGCTACGGAGAAACTCCAGGGACCAATTCTAGGGGAAACAGTTACTTGAGGTGGGTGCTACCAATGAGAGCAAAAATCAGGAGGAGAAAGCTCCGAGAGGAAATACCAAAATCCTGCCGTTTTGAAGAAATTTGGCTTTTCAATTAGAGAGCACAGAAGAGGGAAAGCATTTATGCAAAAGAATTTCTGACAATGAACATGTTTTAAAAAGTGCTATAAAATTGTGTCATTTACTGATGGAAACATCTTTTATTTCGCAGTCACAGGGGCTGAACTCTTGGTGAGTCCCACTCTTTATATAGTGATAATAGACTGTGCTTTGATATGTGAGAGTAAAATTGAAATGAGGAAACAGTAACTAAAATGAACATGATTTCAAGTTGTCCCATTCAGGCCTGAGTTTTGACATGGGAAAAAATTACATAGCAGCTTTGGGCTTAGTAGCCGATTCCAGAATTTAACGCAGATGGCGACTAATTTTGGTGCCTCTTTAGTTGCAAAAGTACCTATTTTGGAATATATTTAATTAACCAGGATTTAAAGGCTCCTCTTGTTTGTGAACACCTTGGCTTTTTTGTCATCTGTCAGCATTGTGATGTGCACAGCAACTGAAAGGTTCTGAGGCATGAGCTATTTAGGTGGTTTTGATGTGCACTTGCTTTTCTGGAGGATGTTTAAACAAAGCAGTGCTGCCATTTCTACAGTTTCATTCAGTTCTGCTTGCTGGGAACCTGCTTCTATTGCCCCTGTAATAAAGGATACATATAATACTCGAAAAGCCACAACGCTCTTGGTTATTAATACATGTATATATCGCTTCCTTTCATCACAGAAATAGACATATCGGACCTAGCTGGTCATTTACTCTGCTCTCTGCAGAAGCAGGATTTCACTTTCTAAATATGTTTCTGTTTTAAATAACCTTTTACTACTAAGGTGCAAGCTGCAGCTTTAAAGTACTGACTGCTAGCCATCTTCTGTTTGCTGCTCTATGAGGACTCTTCCAAAAACAAAACTGTGTTATTGTACAGCTCCAATAAACAAAATAAATGTGACTGATATCTGCTTCTGCTGTACTTTTCCCGTGCTTTGGTTCTTAGATAGCCTACACGAGCTGAGAGAGAAAGAAAAGAAGAAACACAAAATTGCAGCCGGAAAAGGCGTTAAGTCCACATTCCTCTTTGCAGGCTTTAAAAAAGCAAACTAGCAATTCATGATCACAAAATAAAATATGTACATTTAAACAAGCTGCAGGGGAAAGGAGAGTTTAATCCAGTGAAATTGTGTTTGAAAGCTATTTCATACCCCTAGGAATAAAATCTGAATAGCAATTCTGCTTTGCTCCCACCCTTTTTCCACCCTTCTGTTAATATATTACCATTTGTTATGGAATCGTTACAAGACTTCTACCCCAGAGGTGGCTGCATTTCCTTGAAGGATGAAGTACTTTCTGGGCCTGAGTCTCTTCTTACTCGCAGGAGCAGACAGTACTCACTGCAACTGCACTGATGCTGCTAGTAAAGCTATTTTTGCTTTGCACCTGAGCAAGAGAAGAATTAGGCCCACAGTTTGTAAAGCCCTTTGTGATTTCATTTGGGTGAGATCTACAACACAAATGGGTTGTTTATTGTCAACAGAAGTATGATACTAAAGCAGGCACTGATATAAAGAACTGTAACTATCTGCTTCAAGAATCATGGCAATGGAAATGACGATCTCAAAAAGGAATGACGATTCAGAAAAGTTCAGCCCTGGAAAGATCAAAATGCATTTGACATAGTTTTGGTGTTGATGTGAAATAAAGTGTCTTTAAAACTGTAATTTGAGATCAAAAATCCCCATCATCAAACATAAATAGTGCCCCATTTATCCAATTACACTACCTTGCTTCATTACAATGGTCTGTAATATATTTCTTAGGGATACAAGGCTTAAAATTAATAATAGAAAAGGACAAAATTGCCATGTATATTTCTCCAGATAGATTTTCATCTAGCAGCAGGACTTCACTTCTGATTCACTCGCTGGTTCTCTCTAACCTTTACATTATTCATTAATCAAACTAGAAACCTGCTTTCAAAGTCAGTGCATGGTAGTAATTATTTACAGTTGTGCATAGTATTTAATTTTAAGCAATGACAAAAGCAGGCATGTCCAGAATCATAAGGCTTATCATTTTTCTTCCGTTGGAGGTGAACTATCTAAAGAAGCTAAAAGTTGCAAACTTCTCTTCAATATCTCTGCTGCCATCAAGACAAAATGCAGTGCAACTGATACCTTTGAACTTGTACAACTAAAAATAAATAAAAGTGAAAATTAAGTAATATATAATGTATTAACTCCTTTAAATAAAAGGAATAAGGGGCTTTGCTATCAGCCTTGATGAGCGATTCCTTTCTTATTGCACAGTCTGTCTGCTGTCACTTTGAGGTATTTTTCACCATACAAAACAGAACCTCAGTACTATCCCTGAAAATGAAAGTCAGTTTTAAGAACTATATACAACAGGCACGTCTGCTCTTTGAAACCCCCCCTACCCCCCACAAACACACAAATACAACTTCAAAGCAGGAGAACTATTGCAAATGTATAAACCTACTTCAAATCCGTTATGCTGGATGAAACTGGACTGCATTTGCAGTATTTTGCTCACCTGAAACAACATTGATCTGAGGACAAATATAATCAAAGAAATGCACCACTGAAGAGCAATGCATATTTTATAGTAAGAATAAGGAAGGAGAGATGTAGTTGTGGTCAGTGAAAATTCTCCCTCATCATTAAGATTCTCAAAAATACTCTAGCGTTCCGGACAAAAACATATCTTACTGTATTCTCAGCAGGGAAATCCCGGGAAACAACAGCATGGGCTTTGCTCGCAAAAATTTACTTACTCTGTCGCCTATGTTTCTAAAAAAGAACAGGGTGCTCCTTCTACAAAAAGATACTACACGCATTCCAAGTGAAAATTCTGCTTTGAAAACAAAATAACATGAAGACTTATACTCCTGACAGAGAGAAAAAAAGGAGCAATTCTAGCACTGTCACTGTGATGATCAGCATCCATGAAAAAATAGCTATTTATCCTGCAAGTTGAAAACGTTAATGCCTTATTCAGATATAACCTCTTTGTGAATAAAACAATAACAGCAACTCATCAGAGAGTTCTTCCGAATACATGTATATATGCATTTCTAGCTTAACTGTTATTTATGGTGAAAGGGGATCTTTGCTTGCCAGGAATCATACGAGCAACCTGTGTAGGGACAGTCATTGGTCACGTCCCAAAAGACTCTGCCTGCATACCATTGTCCTACACCTACATGAATACGGCAAAACACGTAAGTTTATAAAAGTTTTGCATGTCCCAGTTTCTCTGAAATAACATTTACCTTTGAATGAATCCCAAGCACTACTTTTCAAAGTTTATTCAAGTATGCCACTAAACTTGCCCATACATTTTGTCCCACATATAATATGCTAGACCTAGAAAATATTCGGAAGGGGGAGGAAAAATTAGTAAACCATTTTTAAACTAAACCCATAAAATATTAGTTTTCTTTAGAGAACTAATGTGATGCAGGACACAAAGAAAAAAAGAAGGGAAAAAACCCGCCTACATTAAAAGCCAAACAAGATAATAATTGTGCATGTCTGGCTAAGAGAATCTAGAGGGCAAGCCTTACGTCATTGGCACTCGGGTTACCATGGTGAGTGATTTATTGATATATATCAAGAATGAATAGATCAAAGGCAGCAAGATGACAGGTGATCAATCAAATGTCAAATCAAAGCTGGCAATCAACTGGAAAGCTGATTTTTCAGTGGGTGGGTCTGGCAGAAGAAAAATGAACTTCCATATTGCGCTTCCCAGAAACAAAACCCCACCACACTATTAAAAAAAAATAAAAAGCAATTAAGCAGCCTGAAAGAAAACTCTTTGAAAAGATTTACTCTACAGGCCCACTCATCTGTTTCTTCTTCTTGGCCCCCAAAAGAAAAAGAACACTCTACCAATGACAAAACAAAACACTTCCAAAGTTGCAAACTATTTTCTTCTTTTTGAAAAAAATAAAAAATTGCAAAACCACTTGGCATGTGCAAATACATAAACTCGGCTACAAAACAAAAGAAGGGTTTGATTTGAAAATGCGGATTGTCTTCTAACAGTCAGAACGTTTCATTTTATTTCCTGTTGCAATTTTCACCACTGATGATCAAAGGCTGAACTTCCCCACCGGGTTCATCAGCAGAGACAGTCCCTGTACTATTTCAGGCATACACAGCGCGCACGCACACACACTCACACACACACACACGCACCACCCGGCCAGCACTGCCACCAGAAACACGGCGAAATAAAAGATTAAACGCACCGACCCACTTCGCGAAACACACGGTTCAAAAAAAAAAAAAACCACCAGGAGGGGGGAAAAAATCCGAAAGGGAAGGGGAAGGGAAAAAAAAAAAAAAAAGACCAAAGCGGGAAGCAAATGGGAGGCTGCTTTCGGTTCGGTAAGGGAAAGGGGCCGGGGGAGAAGAGGGGAGCCGGGTGGAAGAAAGTTGGGGGGAAAAGTTTAGGCAGGGCAGGATGGGAGCTCGGAGCAGGAGGCAGCGGGGACCGAGCGCGGTGGGAGCGGCGGGAGGGTGGAAGGGGACAGCCCATGTCAGAGTAAAGATCTTGGCAATAAGGGATGAAACTGGCTCCGCGGAGTTACGAAGGGAAAGGGAGGGGGAGGGGGGATAAATAAATAAAGATCCAGCCCGGAAAAGCAAGGGTGACCCTAAATAATAATAAAGATGGGGGGTAGGATTGGAAGGAGCGGAGAGACAGAGGCTGTGTTAAGTGGATGGCTTCTCCTTACCTGCAGCCCGTTTGGGTGCTTGCTGTTTCCTCCTTGGCATCGCTCTACTTTCTCCAATCTCACTTCTGTCCCCAGATCCGAGAGCCCTGAGACGCTCCTGAGTCGTGTTTCTCTGCCTCTGCCTCTCAGCTGCTTTCCCCAACACCCCCCTCAAGCCTCCCCTGCCCCCCTCCTTTCCACTTCACTGATAGGAACCTGTTTGGTTTTTATTTTATTTTAGAGATCTAGGTTTCTTTCTTTCTCTCTCTCTTTTTTTTTTTTTTTGGTTGGCTTTTTTTTTTTTTTAACTGTTGCAACACTTGCTTTGCTTTGATTCAAACATCCAAGCTCAGGAGCAAATGAAAGGCGCCCACAGTGCCAGAGAATGGTAATAAATAAATAACAAAATAGATATGTATATATTAAAAAAAAGGCAGCTCTGGAAAGACTGTGGGGCTGGCTGCTTCCTCCCTTTCCTCTCCTCTCCTCCTCCTCCTCCTCGCAGAGCTGTATGGCGGAGCGGTGCCCGGGTGTGCGTGGTGTGTGTGTGTGTGTGTGTGTGTGCGTGTGTGTGTGTGCGTGCGTGTGCGCGGAGCGCTGCAGGTTCCGTGCTGTCAGATGCCAGGCGGTGAGTGATATGGGAGAGGACAGGGAGGCTTTGGATGGAAGGAAATCTGGGATCCGCACACACACACACACACACACACGCACACACACACACTCGCGCAGCCCCGCGCGCGCGCGCGCACACACACACGCGCACACGCGCGCACACACCACCGCGCGCACACACACCCCACACACACACACACACACAGACACACACACACAGGCAGGGCGAGGCGATGCCAGCAAACATCGATCCCCGCTGAGCAAACTGAACATTAACAAACTCCTCCTCCGCCGCGACCCGATGACAGGATGAAATTTACTCCGCGCAGACGGAGGAGCAGTTTATTAAAGG